ACGCTGAGGTTTTAGAATGGGAAGAACAAAAAGCCTCCTGGCCACGTGGCATTTACATGTTAGGGATTACAGGCACCTCGCCAGCACAAGGAATGGGAGACCTTCATCTGCCCTCCGCCTTCCGAGGGCTCCCCACAGATGACCTGTGGGGGCCATCCCTTGATTTGGCCCCTATCTCACTGACTCTTTCCCTAACAGTCCACGAGAACGGCTTGACGGGTCTAGACCACCCTCCGTCTACGCACAGGCCACACTGCGCATGCTCTCTGCGGTCCTGAGCGCGAGTTTGCAAGCTACGCCTACCCGAGGCTGGGAGTGGGAACTTCCGAGCACCCCACACCCCTTCTGCCTTAATGGTACACCCCACGCGCGTGCGCCCGGGCAGCGGAAATAAGACTTGGGGGCGGGGCCTGTTGTGTCTCGTGACGGAAGTGTGGTGGCGTCCCGCCGCGCGGGCTTTTTGGAAGTTCGCAGCAGCGGTGGAGCTGAGGTAACAGTGCCGAGGGGGCTCGCTGCCCGGGCCGTGGGACCCTGCGCCGGGAGCGGGGAGCGGGTGCACGAGGGCGGGAGGGCTGCCGTTCCGAGCTGGCGTTCTGGTGTTTTCTCTGGGGTGTTTCCCGCCGCGTCCCTCGGTTTCCGCGGTTCCCTCCTCCCGGCCGTGCTACTCTCTCCGCGCTCGTCTTCGATTCTTCGCTCTCGGTCAGGGTTCAGCTCCTGCGCCCGAGAAACGTAACCCCATTCCGCCTCTAGCTCAGTCACGGTCAGCATCGCCAGCTGCCTCGCTCCGGGGTTTCCGTTTGTGGTTACGTGGTGCTGTCGGGGTTTCTGTTTGTGGTTACGTGGTGCTCTCGGGGAAGCCCAGGCGCGAAACCCGGCGCGTCTCCTTCCCGGGGCCGCTAAGCTCGGCGCCTCTGGGCGAGGGGTGTGCCGGGCGCACCGGCGCTGCGCAGCCGCCCGCTAGTTACTCATCTCTGGCGGTCGGCCGAATTTAGCAAAACGCACCTGCTGGGATAGGTTGATTTCAGCATATTCCGCTTCTGGCTGCGCGTCTCTCTTGGTCAGTATGCCCTTCGTGCATTTTCTCTGCCCACCCCGGGCTCTAACCGGGGTAAGGGGGTCGGAGCAGGCGATCTGGGGGTCGGGAGCTGGGCAGACCTAGGCTTTATTTCTTTATTTCTTCCACTGCTGGCCTT